TATATTAAAATACTGTGTTCAAGTTACCTACATGAGTTAGTTCTTCCCCCTCCCAATTCTGCCCTTCAGTGTAGTATTGTTATTAACATGAAATATAGTTCGGTTCATTTACTTTTGTTTGCATTCCATTTTACAAATTTGCCCCCAACTTTGATCTTTTTTTGATTGTGTGATACATTAACATGGTTACTAAAAAGTTGAATTTGATGATAATGTCCAATGATGGTAGACTGTCCTGGTGGAACTGTGTATAAACAGGTCGAATCTTTCTGGTGAACAACCTGACATGGAATATTAATAGCTTTTAAAATGTTCATACCTATTGACCCAATAAGAGATCTCACAGACTTAAGGTTAAGGACAGTCACCAAAATATTATTTATAATTATAAAAATTAGAAACAAAATATCCAGCTATTGGAGACTGGAAAAGCACAAATTATTAATCAAAGACCATAAATTACATGTACATTCGTATGTTAGAATACTAAGCATCTATTTAAAATCATTTCTCAGCTGGGCACAGTGGCTCACGCCTGTAATCCCAGCACTTTGGGAGGCTGAGGCAGGCTGACTGAGGTCAGGAGTTTGAGACCAGCCTGGCCAACATGGCGAAACCCAGTCTCTACTAAAAATACAACAATTAGCCAGGCATGGTGGCGCATGCTTGTAGTTCCAGCTACTCAGGAGGCTGAGGCAGGAGAATCACTTAAACCCAGAAGACGGACGCTGCAGTGAGCCGTGGTCACACCACTGTACTCCAGCCTGGGTGAGAGAGCGAGACTGTCTCAAAAAAAAAAAAAAAAAAAAAAAAAAATTGTTTCTCAAAGACAATAGTGACCTAGAGAAATGCTAAGGGAAAATAAAGTGTGACACAGAAATGTTTACACATTGTAATTTTTTTTTTTTTGGAGACAGGACCTCACTGTGTCACTCAGGCTGGAGTACAGTAGCGTGATTATGGCTCACTGCAGCCTGGACCTCTCAGGATCAGGTAATTCTCCCACCTCAGCCTCCCACGTAGCTGGGATTACAGGTATGCACCATCACACCTGGCTAATGTTTTATATTTTTTGTAGAGAGGGGGTTTCACCATGTTGCCCAGGCTTGTTTTGGTGTTGAACTTCTGGGCTCAAGCCATCTGCATGCCTCCATCTTCCAAAGTGCTGGGATTACAGGCATTAGCCACTTTGCCTGGCCTATACATTGTAAACCTTATTTTTGTTTTAAAAAGATGTGCTTGGCCAGGCATGGTGGCTCATGACTGTAACCCCAGAACTTTGGGAAGCTGAGGCGGGCAGATCATCTGAGGTCAGGGGTTCGAGACCTGCCTGGCCAACAAGGCGAAACCCCATCTCTACTGAAAAATACAAAAATTAGCTGGGCATGGTAGGACATGCCTGTAATCCCAGCTACTCAGGAGGCTGAGGCATGAGAATCACTTGAACCTGGGAGGCGGAAGTTGCAGTGAGCCAAGATTGCGCCACTGCACTCACTTTGTGTCAAAAAAAAAAAAAAAAAAAAGTGCCGATAAGTAATAATCTGTGAATAATGAGATATTTGGTGGTTTTGATTTCTCTTTCTCTCTCCCACTTTACTTATTAATTTGTCTTTTCCAAACTTTCTATAATAAGTATTATTAATTTTACAGTCAGAAAGCAATTTAACAAGTTAGTAGTGTATTAATATTTAGGCATTCCTAAATATACAAATGACCCTTGGGCATAACAGCTTCTACATGCTTTCTAGGTGGTTCCCTGCCTCTGTCTTTCTGCCTAGGCTTTCAACTGCTCCTCAATCTATTTTTTCTATGGTCTCTGAATTTTACTTACACTAACACACCACTAACTAGAGATTCATTTAGATTAACAACCAAGCCATCCTTTGTCTTCCTAATTTGTTGACTTTATTTTAAAATTACTATATGGACCGGGTGCAGTGGCTCACGCCTGTAATCTCAGCACTTTGGGAAGCCAAGGCAGGCGTTCGAGATCACTTAGGTCAGGAGTTTGAGACCAACCTGGCATATGTGGTGAACCCCCGTCTCTGCTAAAAAAACAAAACGAAACAAACAAAAAAACAGAAAATTAGCCAAGTGTGCCAAGTGTGGTGGCACACACCTGTAGTCCCAGCTACTTGGGAGGCTGAGGCAGGAGAATCACTCGAACCTGGGAGGCAGAGGTTGCAGTGACCCAAGATCACACCACTGCACTTCATGAAGCCTGGATTATAGAGCAACACTCAGTCTCAAAAAATAAACAAATAATAAAGTTACTATATGTATGAAAATATTCCAAGTACACATTTTTAAAAGCTAAGAAGTACTAAAAGCATTGTAATGAAAAGTAATAGTCCCCGCCCCATAGGCCAACTTCCTAGAGGCTACTGTTCTCAACTCCTTGGCTGTTTTTTCTGGTATTTATCTCAGTGTTTCTCAACAATGTGTGTATAGTGAGATTTCTTGATCTTTTAATTTTAGGTAGCATCTGTTAATTTATTGCCATGAGAGATGAGGACTTAACTTTCATACATCATACTTTCCACCTCTCATTCCTCTTGTGATTATATCACACATTTTGGTTGAATCTGGTGGTCAGTGTTAATATTATGATGATTATGCAAACATTGTGCACTACAGAGCCAAGTAGTGTACTATGACCATGCTTGCTTTCTTGTAGAACCTCTTTATTTTTGCCTGGAGTTAATCATCACTTGATTTCTATTATTTATTTTCTTTAAAAAAACTATATAATATGCATGTGCCTCATTTTTTATGATTCTCTGATTCTTTACTTTGTTTTTTAATGCTTCTCTACATGGCCCATGCACACTGGTTACATTTTTTTTCTGGGTACTTTCACCTCCCCATTCCTATCTGTACTGGTCATCCATGGGCCTACTGTATAGTTGTTCCTAGGGCTGCAACTACACTTTGCTCTGTTGGATCCCCTGTTTCTTAAATTATTAAATTCTGTGTCTTCCTCTTTCCTGGCTTATTTCTTTGGTTTCAGTAGCACATCCCCAGAACCTTCTGGAATAAAGGTACATAAATACTTTGAGATCTTTGACATCCGAAAATGTTTTTATTCTGCCCTCACACTTGACTGAGAATTTATTGAGTTGGTGTGGAATTCTAGACTGCAAATCATTTCCCCTCAGAATTACAAATAGTTTGCTCCAGTTTCTTCTGACTTCCAGCGTTGCTACTGAGATGTTCAATGCCATTTTGATTCTTAGTCCTTTGTATGTTATCTGTTATTTTTAGGAAGATTTTAGGATCTCCTTTTTATCCTTAGAGTTCTGAAGGGTTATAAAGATGTGCCTTAGCCTGAACCTTTTTTCCCATTCATTTTGTGGCTCACTTAGCAGGCCCTTCGATACTGAGACTCTTATGCTTTTATTCTGAGAAATTTTCTGGTATTTTAAAAAATAATTTCCTTCCCTCCATTCTTGCTGGATGTTGGACTTTCAGAATAGATCCTCAAATGTTCTTATCTCTCACATTTTTCCATCTTTTTGTACTATGTTCTGAAGTTATTAGCAAGTATTTTCTTTTTCTTTTTCTTTTCTTTTTTTTTTTTTTTTGAGACAGAGTTTTGCTCTGTCGCCCAGGCTGGAGTGCAGTGATGTGATATCAGCTCACTGCAACCTCCACCTCCTGGGTTCAACCAATTCTCTGCCTCAGCCTCCCTAGTAGCTGGGATTACAGACCCCCACCACCACGCCTGGCAAATTTTTTTGGTTTTTTTTGTATTTTTAGTAGAGACGGGGTTTCACCATCTTGGCCAGGCTGATCTTGAACTCCTGACCTCGTGATCCACCCGTCTTGGCCTCCCAAAGTGCTGGGATTACAGGTGTGAGCCATGGCACCCAGACTTTATCAATTATTTTCTATCTTTTCTTTTGAATACTTACTTTAAAGTATTCTGCTTTTTCATAGCCAAAATCCCTTTCTTATTATGATTATTTTATTTTGCACCCTGCTATAGTTTGAATGTCTGTGTCTCCCCAAAATTTATATATTGAGACCTAACCCCCAAAGTGATAGTATTTGTAGATGGGAAGCTTTGGGAGGTGATCAGGTCATGAGAATGGAACCCTTATGAATAGTATTAGTGCCTTTATAAAAGACACCCGGGCCGGGCACAGTGGCTCAAGCCTGTAATCCCAGCACTTTGGGAGGCCGAGACGGGCGGATCACGAGGTCAGGAGATCGAGACCATCCTGGCTAACCCGGTGAAACCCCATCTCTACTAAAAAATACAAAAAACTAGCCGGGCGAGGTGGCGGGCGCCTGTAGTCCCAGCTACTCGGGAGGCTGAGGCAGGAAAATGGCGTGAACCCGGGAGGCGGAGCTTGCAGTGAGCCAAGATCGTGCCACTGCACTCCAGCCTGGGCGACAGAGCGAGACTCCGTCTCAAAAAAAAGAGAGAGAGAGAGATCCTAGGGAGAAACCCTAGGGAGCCAGTTCATCCCTTCTGCCATGTGAGGCCACTGCAAGAAGACATTATCTCTGAACCAGAAAGCAGGCCCTCTCCAGACACCAAATCAGTGCCTTGATCTTTGATTCCAGTCCCTAGAACCGTGAGAAATAAATTTCTGTTGTTTATAAACCACCCAGTGTATCCTTTTTGTTATAGCATCCCAAGCAGTCTAAAATACATCCTCTCATGGATAAAATGTCTCATGGATAAAATGTCTTTTCTTATTTCTCTATAGATAGTAACTGTACCACTTTTAAAGATTTGTTCTGTTGTTTCCTCTCTTTTGGTCTCTTTGTTTCATGTTAGGACTTTCCATAAACATCTGGTAATCTCGGGCCATCTGTTAAGATTTCATTATGAGGTACAGAAAACGGGTGGAGGGTTCTGTGTGCATGAAGGTGGCTTATTCTCAGAGGGCATCTGGCACAGAACCAGCTTATTCACTGAGGGGAGTCTCCCCAGTGTCTGAACCTGAAAGTTTCTTCTCTGTGATCATCCCGGTTTTTTCCAGAGTAGGATCGTTTCCTGACTGACTGCCAGTGTTCTGGAAGCAGGTGCAGTAAAGAGGCTAAGAATCCCACTAATGTGTGCGTGAAAATGAATCCTTAGTCACCTTGTTCATCCCTGACCCATACTGCCTGACAAGGACTCTCAAGTCCCACAACTAATTCTTTTTAACATGAGAAGGTATTAAGAGGGTTAAGAGGTTCTCTATGATTCACCTACTAGTGTGAATTCATATCTGTTCCTTTTGCTTTCCCTGCTGGCCCTTAGCTGATATCAACCGCCCTAAGGGAATGAAAGTCTGATTGGTCAGGAAGCAGGAATAAATGGGTAATTTGGGGTCCCAGGCCCGCCTCAGCAGGCAAGCAGCCCAGAGGTGGGTAAAGTACATTAGGAGAGGGTGCTGCAATCCAGGGACTAGGGCCCTGGACCTGGACACCAAAAGGGAGTTGAGAACGTAGAAAAGAAAACTTATGCTTAAATTGTGCTCAGAGCCAGGGCTCTATGCAAAGAAGCAGCAGGTGACCTGATTTCTCCCTCCTGCACTGCAGAGAACCTGCCCTCAAAGACCCAGAGCTCAGCTTCAGTAGAAGTTGAACAGCACTGTGCAAGCGACCCTGAGAACCCAGTCACCCTGAGAAAAATGGTTTCTAGGGGAAAACACATTCTTTGGTCCACACAACCAACTTACAAATGATCTTTTGGACCACGTCCTGCCTGCAAACTGAGGCTCAATTCACCTTTAATGGGCCAGCTCTGGCAGTGCCAAGAGAGAGAGGCCATTAGCAGAAATGAAAAAAGCAAGAAATCTTTTAGTCCATTAGACTAAAAGAAGATTTTTCATGCTTTATTATTTATGATTTGTGACTTCAGTTACTGTTTCCTGGAACAAATGTTATGATTCAACTTCTATTTACTGAAGCCAATAGATGCTTATCAGTTGTCATGCTACAAATCACAAAGCAGTCAGTAAGGCCTTTGGGGCTGTGGCCTCTTTTGCAATTCTTTGATGTCTTGTCAGGCAACTTATTTTCTGTGCCTCAGAGAGTTTCCAAAAGCTACCACAATCTGATGTGTGTGTGTGTACATATGTGCATGTATATCTATATGTACTTTTTTCTGTCTCTCTCTCTATATATGTATATATGGCATATAAATACAGTAAATTCAAAGAATCAAGCAAAAGCAGATTTTGGTTTTTACTTTAAGAATATCATTTCACTTCCTGAAAAATTAGGAATTAGGAGTTCCAAGGATACCACGTAGCATTTAGACTTGAGTGGGAGCTAAGAAAGTTCAAATGAGGGGAGGAAGAAAGTTCCTGGTCAGGCCTGGTATAGTGACTCAAGCCTGTAATTCCAGCACTTTAGGAGGCTGAGGTGGGAGGATTGTTTGAGCTCAGGAGTTTGAGATCAGCCTGGGCAACCTAGCAAGATTCTGATCTCTATTAAAAAAAAATAAAATAAAATAAAGAAAAGAAAACCTGGGTCAGTGGCGTCAGTGAACCCTGGAGGATGCTGTGATCCTCTTGGTGGTGTCCCCAGCCTCTGCTTCAGGATGACAGCATGGTCTCCTGCGCTGTAGCTCGGTCTGAAATTTTCAGTTTTTCTTTCGAGTTCCCCTTTTTCAGTCTCCAAGGGGGATGGAGGAGGTGGCCTGAATAAGATGTAAATGAAAGAGGAAGTGTCTCAGCAACAACCAAACATAAAACAGCAACCCGCTTCACTTGTGACCTCTACGGAAATACTGAAGACGTCCTCTGTGTCCTTTTAGACTTTCTGGGGTAGGGGATAGCTGCTGCCCAGAAACAAGCAGCTTCCTTTTGGCCAGGTCAGTGCAGGGAACCAACAAAGACAGGGACCTGTGGTCAGAAGCAGCACAGCCACAGCGGGTATCTGATTGGACTGAGCTGGGAAAGACCTTCTTGCCCTTAAGGACCCCTCAAGGCTTCTTTCCCACAAGCTGGAAACAGCTTGGCTCACTGCTGTGCTAAATGCAGGTGCCAGCCGAGGGGGTTACCCTAGGACCATGAGCCATTAACAACTTGTCTCCAATTCACTTCTCCAAGGCCGTCAGCAGCTCCCCACTGAACACCTGTGGGTTCCTGCTGGTGCTAACTTAGGCACAGGGCTAGCAGGTCCCTCCCCTGTAGCAGGTGATGAGAGCAAGTGTGGTGCAGGAGGAACTGGAAAGAGAGTGTCGTCAGAGGCGACACTTGCGTGGATTACAACCATATATTCTTGTGCAATGTAAAAATGCCAACTTGCATCAGCATAACGAAGGACACACTTAGAATAGAAAAGCTGAGGAGGACAGAAGAATAGGAAGAAAAACAAAATCATGTCTGGTCCTTTTGCCCAGAAATGACCCAAGTGAAACTTGGCTGAACTTTTAGACTTTTTCGTGGTGCATTTTTCAACGTAATTTGACAACGTGGGACCTCTGGAATTGTATATTCTAATTTTTCAGTCCATTTATTTCTTATTCCAGAAAGATTCCATATATAAAGATGGCTCATCACAGTGTGGTTTTTAATTCTGAAAAGCTGAAAAATGGATTCTCGCCACTAGTGTTTATAAATAAATTCAATACATTTATGCTCTCACAATAAAATATTATGTGGTCATTAAAAAGAACAATCTCATGCTATGTGTATTATCATGGAAGGATGTCCACAAGATCTTGCTGAAATTTTTTTAAAAGTCCCAAAACTGTGTATATGTAATTTGAGACTATTGATGTAAAAATATGGGTGTGTATGTGTGTAAAAAAGAATGTTTGGGCCGGGCACGGTGGCTCACGCCTGTAATCCCAACACTTTGGGGGGCTGAGGCGGGCAGATCACTTGAGGTCAGGAGTTCAAGACCAGCCTGGCCAAGATGGTGAAACCCCGTCTCTACTAAAATATATATATAAAAAAAATAGCTGGATGTTTTCGTGTGCGCCTGTAATCCCAGCTATTCCAGAGGCTGAGGCAGGAGAATTGCTTGAGCCAGGGAGGCGGAGGTTGCAGTGGGTGACAGAGCGAGTCTCCATCTCAAAAAAAAAAAGGATGTTTGCCAAAATGTTAATAATGGTTGTCTTCAGAAGGAGGGCTTTTTGTAATGTTTACTTTCTTCTTGATATTTTTTAACAATTTTTTTTTTTTTGCAATGAGCATTTACTAGTTTTACATTTTTTAAACTATTTACCTGGAAAAAATTATGCAAATCTAACTTACCATATAAAATACATTTATTTTGTAGTGAGTGAAAATAAGGGTTACAAAATATGTACATAGTATAATATGTTCATAATTTATAGTTTTATACATAAATTTACATATTTTAGTTTAAGTGTATACAAATACAAAAATACATTCACACATTTGAACATATATATAATCTGCATATAAATTTTACGTGTATATATAAAAAGTTTTAAAATTTATATATTTTTATTTTTTTTAATTACTTTTTTTCTTTTCTTTTCTTTTTTTTTTTTTTTGAGACAATCTCACACTATTGCCAGGCTGGAGTGCAGTGGCACGATCTCAGCTCACTGAAACCTCTGCCTCCCAGCTTCAAGCGATTCTCCTGCCTCAGCCTCCCAAGTACCTGGGATTACAGGTGCACACCACTGTGCCCAGCTAATTTTTTGCATATTTAGTAGAGACGGGGTTTCACTATGTTGGCCAACCTGGTCTCAAACTCCTGACCTCGTGATCTGCCCACCTCGACCTCCCAAAGTGTTGGGATTACAGGTGTGAGCCACCGCGCCCGGCCAAGATTATTCTTATATTTTGAATAATAATTGTATTTCCATTCTGGAGAAAGAGTGATATTTTGGAAACCAGGTGCAGTGGCTCATGCCTATAATCCCAGCACTTTAGGAGGGCGAGGCAGATGGATCACCTGATGTCAGGAGTTCAAGACCACCCTGGCCAACATAGCAAAACCCTATCTCTACTAAAAATATAAAAATCTGCCGGGCATGGTGGCGGGCGCACCTAGAATCCCAGCTACTCGGGAGCCTGAGGTAGGAGAATCGCTTGAGCCTGGGAGGTGGAGGTTGCAGTGAGCCAAGATTGTGCCACTGCACTCCAGCCCGGTGGACCGAGAGAGACCCTATCTCCAAAAAAAAAAAAAAAAAAAAAAAAAAAAGTAAGATTTTGGGCTAAGTCTTGGAGGGGTAGGGACGGCCAGTCCAGGGCAGCCCAGGCTGAGGGCACAGCACGTACCAAAGACACAAAGCCACAGCAGAGCAGGACCATGTGTGGCACACGCTGCTCCTGGCACCTGATAGCACCAGTGTTCTGTCCTCCTGGAAACTCTCCTCTTGCTTTTCTGGGTCACTGTTCTCTCCGGGCTGCTTAGTCAGCCAAGCAGGCACCTAGAGGGGCCCTGAGGGATTGCGGCTGTCCCGGGTAGGGGCTCCGTGAGGGGGAAGCCGACCTACTTTCCAGTGTTCCTGAGGCTCAGGCCCATGTGCCACAGAGAGAGTGTGTGAACATCACGGTCCGTGGCCTTCGGTTCAACTGAGGCACCACCAGCTCCTGGGTGGCCCCGGCCAAGGCACTTTACCTCTCTGGGACTCAGTGTGTTTATCCAGGGGTATGGACAGTAAGAACCTCTGGCCCCCAGGGTTAATGAGAGGATTAAAGAAGACATGGGAACAGCTCCTTTTAACTAACTGGTTATTACCAGAAGGTGCCCAATAACGAGGCCTGGCAAAAGCCCAAAGGCAAAAACACAAAGCCCTGACATGTAACAGGTTCTTTCTGTGCTAAGAAACCAGCGCTGGAGACAAGTACGTGTGATATATCCTCGTGGTTGGACATGTTGGTCACAAGTTCTAATTATGGAAATGCCCGCTGACAAAAGGGCCTGTTGATGTGAGTCACCATGGGTGGTTTAACTCTCTAGGCCTGGGCTGCTCCTAGGAATGATTTGCAGACACATCTATCTATCTACCTAGCTATCTTTTTTCCTTTTTCTTTTTTTTTTTTTTTTTTTGAGACCGGGTCTCACTGTGTCACCCAGGGTGAAGTACAGTGGCACAATCAGGGCTCACTTTAGCCTTGACCTCCTGGGCTCAAGCAATCCTTCTGCCTCAGCCCTCCGAGTAGCTAAGACTATAGGTGTGTGCCACCATGCCCAGCTCATTTTTTTATTGTTGTTTTGAATTGTAATATCGATGTCTCACTGTATTACCCAGGCTGGTCTTGAATTCCTGAGTTCAAGCAATCCTCCCACTTCGGCTTCCCAAAGTGCTGGGATTAGAGGCATGAGCCACTGCACCCGGCCCATAAGATATAAATGTTTTTATTAAAATAATGCAGTGATTTGTTTCGTTTTGGTTTTGTTTTTTTTTTTTTTTTTTTTTAGAGACAAGGTCATGTTCTGTTGCCCAGGTTGTGCACTCACAGCTCACTGCAGCCTTGACCTCCTGGGCTCAGGCAATCCTTTCACCCCAGCCTCACATGTAGCTGAGACTACAGGCATGTGCCACCACACCTGTTTAATCTTAACATTTTTAGAGTTGGAGTCTTGCTATGTTGCCCAGGCTGGTCGTGAGCTCCTGGACTCCAGTGATCCACCCGTCTTAGCCTCCCACAGTGCGTCACCACGCCCAGCTAATTTTGTATTTTTTGTAGAGAGGGGGTTTCTCCATGTTGGTCAGGCTGGTCTCGAACTCCTGACCTCAGGTGATGTGCTGCCTCGGCCTCCCAAAGTGCTGGGATTACAGGTGTGAGCCACTGAGCCTGGATGCTACCTGTTCTTATTGTGAATTTATACCCTGAAGAAATGGAATCTGCCATTTGCTGTAGTAGCAATCCAGAAAAACAAAGCGTACTTGTTGGTATAAAACACGACTAACTGATATTGAGTGTCACCTGGGGGTGACTCATCACAGCAAGAATGGATCAGCTTAACCAGGTGTGGTGGCATGCAGCTGTGGTCCCAGCTACACAGGAGGCTGAGGTGGGAGGACCGCCTGGGCCTGGGAGATTGAGGCTGCCGTAAGCAAAGATCATGCCACTGCACTCCAACCTGGGCAACAGAGCAAGACCCTGTCTCAAAAAAAAACAAAAAAACAAAAAATCAAAGAATGGATCAGTCTCATATCATCCAAGCTCATAGAGAGAATGATGTAGAAAAATTCCAATGACTTTGTATTGAATCGTCACCCTCAGAGGGTTGGGGACATAGGTTCATAGATCAGCACCTTCACTCCCGGAAGGCACGGGAAGACAATTTCTTTTCTCTTTTTTTTCGAGACAGACTTTCACTTTTGTCACCCAGGCTGGAGTGCAGTGGTGTGGTCTCGGCTGACCGCAACCTCCACCTCCCGGGTTCCAGTGCTTCCCGAATAGCTAGGATTACAAGTGCCCACCACCATGCCTAGCTAATTTTTGTATTTTTAGTAGAGATGGGGTTTCTCCATGTTGGCCAGGCTGGTCTCCAACTCCTGACCTCAGATGATCCACCCGCCTCAGCCTCTCAAAGTGCTAGGATTACAGGCGTGAGCCACCACACCCAGCCGGGAAGCCAATTTATAACAAGTTTTCTTGGTAAACATGGGTAATTAGTTGATGACCCTAATGGTTCCTACCCCTCTAAGTTTGGTGCATCCTCTTTCTCTCTCCCAGTCATGTGAGGATACAACACGAAATT